AGTTGTATACATGCAAACAGAACCAGAGAAACTATACTAACTTGTTTATTTCCGAACTATAATTGGCCACTGACTCGACTCTTACTCATCCTCGCTGAATCCAGAGAATGACTCTTCCGAGTCACTGCAAAAAAGCAGATTGACGCATTCGTCGTTGACGCTGTTGCAACTCAAGGGGATCGCGATCGCAGGGTCTCCAATGCCCGTAAGGCAATCGTGCAGGTGTCCGTCCTTGCTGCCATCGAGTGCGCCGCTGATGCCGCATCCCTTGAATGACCGGGCGATAATCTCTTCAGGTAGTGCAGCCCATGCTGCCGACACAAAGTTCAAAACATCCTGCCTTGAACGCTTCTTGAGGTTGTCTTTTGCCGTCTTCTCTCCCTTCCTCATAAACTCCGCCCACGATGAGCGGTGGGAGTTCTTGAAGGACTTGTTCCAGTAGACATTTGCGGGTTGAAGAATTCCTGTGCACCCTCCTGGAATATACACAATGTCTGTGTCAGCCGCTTCAGCTGCGTCGACAACGGCCTTGGTCTTGTGGATCGGCGCTTGATCAATCACCAGCAAACGGCGAGCATCGTCAGTGTCAGGTGACCCCAGACACAGTTGAGCCACTCGAGACACTTCTCGGTCGCCATGCATTCGTTTTTTGATGATGTTAAGCGAACATTCGCTGTAAAAAAAAAAAAAAAGATGAGCATAACAATGAGTGACGTAATTAAAGATTCCCCTCGCGGAGTGAATGTTTGGACACTGCGTGGTGAGCGTTACGGTTACGGATTGAGTGAGCGCTTGAAACTGCTGTTGAACGAACGAATGCGAGTCATATCGTCGTCACGACTCTAGGGTGGGCAGGGTCTAATAATTGATAGCTAGAGTCGCTGCGCCTGTGAGGCACTCAGTGTGCCTAGATTGTAGAGCGCTTCCAACTGCTCAATCGGGTTCGCGTCGTTTATGGGGCTCGTTTGCAATAGGAGCTGCGAGGTGTCGGAAGAGCGTGTCTCTGCCCGCTTTTCTCATCGCCACACGGCAACGCGACGCATGCGAACTTCCAGCCAATCTGCGCAGGAAGCGTCCGCCATTAAATTGCAATCGCTCTCCATGGTTTGAAGTTGCTCCCTCTCTTTGATCTAAGCTATCTAAGCACTCGCGAGCATCATGCACCACCCACGACCACAATGAAACAGTACTCCAAACTATGATAGCTAAACATTCATACCTGGTATCCGAAGGCCCATGTATGCTCGTGGAGGAATCCTCCCAGTAGGTTTCTTCAGGACGACAAACGTCGGAAGTTTCGAACCCGATGCTCGGGCTGCCAGGGCCACCGTGAAACCACAACGGGCGCAGCCGGTGTTTGCAATCCGAATACTGCTTTCTCCTGCTACATTGTTGGTATGCGTCGCTGGGTTGTCCATGCGGACCATCGTTTGATCCATGTTGGCAATGTTGTAAGGCGTGTAAGCATGGCACGTTCGCAAGCTTGTAAACCTGGCGCGAAACGCATTGACGGCTTCTGTGCAGTCAGCAAGGGCATTCTGACTATCGTGGGTCGACATGCGCATAGTTACCCCAAACTGCTTTTTCCAACGCTTGATAATTGACTAGACGCTTTGAAGTTTCCAAGGTTCAGGTTTACAGCAATGCAGAGCGCTTCTTCTGCTATAAGCCAGTTACTCGCGGCATGGCCGGCATCTCGCTCAGTCTGCAGGTACTCGAAGAGCGTGTTGTCTAACTCTTCACTTAAGACTGGACCGCCGTCAGTCAGCTTCCGCTTCATCTTCTGTTTGCCGTAATTCAGATGCTTCAGCGTCTCATACTTTGAGTCTTACTCGCGGATGCGTTTACGATTGATTTTGAACTGTCGAGAGGTGCGACTCACATTCTTGCCCGATGCCAGTTGATGACTTCAACCTTCCTGGATATTGTGTATGAATGCATAGTAAGTATCCACTTGCTTGCTGCACGAGGAGTGAGGGTCCAGCGGCAGTGAGTCGAAATAGGAAGCGTTTATCCAAGCTTTTTCTAACAAAAGCTCCGTGGCTAACTGGGTTTGTCTTGAGGTCCATCTGCATTATCTGCACTCCTATTGGTTTTGACTTTGCTATCAGTTCAACATCTCCAGTGTTGTAGAAACCCCCAGTGATGTGATTGCTGCGCCAATTGTGCCAAACTGCGCCAAGGGGCTAACCCTGCTACATCCTGCTACATTTTGCCAAAATGTAGGTAATCTGCGCCAAGCCTGCACCAAAGGAGCAATTTCGGTCGCCTTTCAAAACCAAAAGTAAACTGAGGACCTAATTGAACATGCGTCAGCTAGTTGGCGCAAGCGGCCACCCGACACAAAGTACCCTGCATCAATAGTCCATCCGGTCTCTCATGTTTTTTTTCCCCGCCGTCCTAACCTCCTTGCCGCCGTCTTGCGTTTCGCTCCCTTGTGCCCAACGTTGCTTGTGCCCTTGTCCCTTGTCGTCTCGAAAATCTCGTCTCGCGTCACTTTAAAATTTTTTCAACAATAGATGCGGGCGTGTGCGAACGCCCCGACGCCAGTGTGCCAGTTGCCAGCCATGCCGTCATGGCGTGCAACGAAACCACGTTGTTGGGCGGCAAGAGTTACTTTGTGAGCTGAAACACTCGCGCGACCACAGTCACCGTGGTCGCGCGATGTCGGGTGTTGTTGTCCCCACGTCGTTGCAGATATGGCGCTTTCTAAACTTGTTCATCGACATTCCTGCCCTTGTTTAAATCATACACTACTGCAAAAATCCGTCTTTAACTCGTATACTTCTTGTCGAAATATTGATTACCTAGGTTTCTCTTAGGCTTTCTTTCGAAAGGGACCCCGGTACGTGAAAAATCTGCCGCGAAAGAAAGTTGGCGGAGAGAAGTGAGCTAAAGCAAAGAAGGCAATTTGTGCATGTTGAACCCGCACATCGCGCTTGTTTGTCTCGAGTTTGGTCGTTGCACAAAGTGCTCCAAGAACTTTTTGACTCTGGCTTGTGATGTCATGCATCGATGCACTCAGGTTCTTTTTTTCTGTGTGTTTAGCTTGCACATCGCCTGCAGGCCTGGCAAGCGCAGGCCGCTCGATTGCTTTTTTTTTTTTGTATGCTGGACAGTTACATTTTGCACACTATTTTGGGAACCAGTTGGCGACGGAGGGGAGTGGCATTGTTTCGGTTTCGATTGAACAGCCGTTGTCTCCGCTCGCGCAATGAAGCACGTGCCACTGCAAGCCTGCTGAAGTTGCCCTCACGTGCATGCGAACGTGACTGCATGACAGAGGTGCCAGCTGGGACGCTTGCGATTCATTGTTTTGCGTTTGCTTACTTTTGACAAAAATCTGGCACGTCGGGAACCAGTAAAACGGTGGCAAGCGTTCTTTTCGGAATTGCTCGGCAGCGCCTATAACACTGTACACTTGTGGTATGTCTCAGCAGTAAAACACAAACAGCGAGTTCTGTTACAACACGCCACAAGGTGCCCTTCGTTTGTCCAGCAATTAAAACAAATATTTTTATTTTTCTAAGAATATCTGCTCCAAAAGCCACTTTTGCTGCTTCGAAACACTGTTTGTGCTGCTCCAAAACACTGTTTTCGCTGCTCCAAAGGCCACTTTTGCTGCTCCAAAACACTGTTTTTGGCTGCTCCAAAAGGTGCTCCAAAATGGCTTAGGCCAATCACATCACTGAACCCCCCACAGTGCCTGGGTGACCTAGATAATAAAGTTCAGTTACTCGTGTCCAATAGTTTTCTCCTTTCCACTGCAAGAAAGTGGACATCCCTGCCCCGCTGGCTGTCACCGCGTGTGCCGCTGGCGTTTCCGAGATTTAAGAATGGGCGCTTATTGTGTAATTTGCACGATTTATATGTTCTGTAATTTAAGGGTGGTCGCTTACGTTACGTAATTTAAAGGGGCGATGGAACGATTTTTGTATTTTGCGCAAATACCGCTTAGAACGGATCCCTGACGTTAATGACCTGTGAAGTACCCGTTCGGTTTTCACCACACGCAACCGAAGTCGCAGAAAATAAATAAAGAAAAACGAGTACCGTTCACCCCCTCAACTCGCAGCCAGAACAAGCGGCCACGTGATCTGGAGCCGATTATATGCCGCCAATGTTGATCATAGCCACGCGCTGAGGTTGGCAAAGCACTGGACACGCGCTGAGTTCCAGACATTGTTATGGTTCGGCTATTGTCGTCGTTGCAGCGATTGGACACGGGCCACTACCCGAATGCTCGAGCTAGTAATTATCACGAGCCCAAATCGAGTGTCACGCCATGTTCGGGTCCAATCTATGAGCCCCATTCAAATATCGTCACTGGGCGGTACTGCTACCGCCCAGCTACGTCATCGGGTCTTGCGAAGGAGAGATTGAACGAAAATTATCGCTTTTGTCCTCAAAATTACACCGCAACAAAGGAGTTTCTTGGTCAGTGGCGTTGCGTGCGAGTATCCTTGAGTCCCACTAGTGCCAGTAAGCTCGTGTAAAGTGAAAAACATTCCATTTGAATATCGTTGCACCGCCCCTTTAAGGTTGGGCGCTTAACTTTTGACTTTGCACGATTTCTACGTTGTGGTAATGTTAAGAGTGGGCGCTTGTCTGGGAATGGGCGCTTCCGCGGTATTTTACGGTAGCTTAAGATTAGCTCAGATATGGACAAGTGGAAGTTTGGGAGCAACCTTTACGAGTTAAGATGGTTTTCGTTTAGGCATGGTGCAGTAGTGAAAAGCTTGGGGAAGCTATTCAATATTCTGTTTGACAATACTCAACCAAAACCACTATTCGCTTCGAATTCGATCGGAATTGAAAATCTACGACTCACTCATGCCTATCCTCGACATCGGGAGGTTTGAAATTCCCCGGCTTGGATGGTGGGCTCATTCTAGAGGTGGGCGAGTATTCAGAACTTCAATTTTCAAACAGCATTTACAATTCAGTTGGGTTGTGGCAAAAGGTGCGTCCTTTGTTTCATTTCGTCCATTGCATTGCAGGCACTTTGTGGAGAAGGCACCCCTCTGGAAGGAGAACCCTGAGCTCATCCTCGACAACAAAATGGGGCCTGACAACTCCATAGCACAGTACACAGGAGGTATTGTCAAGGTGGGGCCCCTCCTCTTTGGCCATTGGCGCTTATGGCCAAACCCTCGGGGAGTACTTTCCTGGGAGAAAGCAGTCTCGGGTAGTAATGCGTTACTGTAATTTCGTTACTTTTTCGGTAGCTTGTAACTGTAACGAGTTACTTTTTAAAAATGTAATTTGTAACTGTAGTTCTATTACTTTTTCTCAGGTAACGATGAAAGTAACGAGGTTACTTTTGTCGTTACTTTTTAGGTTTTTATGAATAATATTTGCGACTCCAACTAACTGTAGGTGGCGCCACTCATTTTCCAAGATGGCGGGTTTAGTGAGGGTCAGAGATGCGTGCCGCTCTTGAGCCTGTCTAGTGTGCTGGCTTCACTGAGCGACATAAATTATTTTTGGTAATACGAGGAAGCTAATGTTTTATAAGCGCAGGTCACCTCTTCAACCTGAAAACAAGAACGATGTTTAGCGTATTAATTATGGAAGGGTGCGCATATTAATTCTGGAGTGAAACCGAAACTTACCTCTATTTTGGATTTAATTTCACGATAGAGGTCTTAATTTCCGATTCTTTCATGACTCAAGATGTGTCTCACATCGTAATTATTTACTTAGAAAAGTTGTTCGCGGAAACTTTATTTTGTGACATACTGTTCGATCCAGGCTGGTATTCGTAGTTGTTGAAAAAATCAGTGCTGATATCTGTGCGTTCTCGCTGCCTTTTTCTCGCTCGGATAATTGTCATGGGAAATAATGACAATTATCCCAGCACAAGAATAAGAGAATAATTCCAATTTTTACAATATGTCCACGAAACCCATAAACTAATAAACGCTGCTCTCATAGCAACAACCCAAGACGGAATCCGAGTCAGACAGCTGAAGTGTGTGTGTATGTTTTTATAGCACCACGTGACGCGTAGGACTTCATATTACATCCAGCGTTGAACTGTTTGTCTATCTTGATAACTATGTCAGAGTTTTTTCATATGCTAAAAAGAAAACAGAATTATACCTTTCTGGAAAGACTGTTATGGTTAAATAGAGTATTCTCATGATATTGGCGTTAATTGGAGGCATACATTGCCGCGATTTGTATTAATAATAATAATATTTAAATTTACATATTTGAATAAGTAATTCTTCAAGCTCTTATATGATATGTTGCTTATGATCTAATTTTAAACGTACAAAGAAATATGACAATGAAAACTGTGCTAATTATCATCACTGGTTCCAATTGCTGCATTTTAATTACAAATAAAATAAAAAAAGTCTAAAATCAATGAAAACATTCTAGCTAATGTGAGAAATCCATGTAAAATTACATTAATTGTAGGTAAAGTATATTGTGCTATCAAAGTCGAAACTTTTGACAATCGGCGAAACGTCCAAAGTCGCCGCCAATATACTTCCAGACCAAATGCCCAAAAGTTTTTAAAAAGAAACTTTTTTTTAATTACTAGTTTTTTCATAACATTTATTTACTTTTGTATTTGCTCGCCGTCGTTTTGCCAATCTCAGCCTTTCCAGTTCGAAGGAACGCCTGCCTGCTTGCACGTCTGCTCACTGCAGCACGTTTCGTTGGCGTTGGAAGCCGGTGAAACAGTAGTAAGTTTTAATATTGCGTATACGAGCGAACTCAAGCCCTGTGTGTTTGCGTTAGCTTTGCGCGTTCCACACTGCGCGTGCGCGGAGCCCGGAATTGCGGTCTTGGATGGCGCATGGTGATGAGGCTCACGCACAACGTGGGGCACGCAACTCTAACGCAAACGCACACCGCTTGCGTTTGCTTCTATGCGCAATACTAAAATTCTCCAGTAAGGTACAATCCCATACCGGCTGCAGCACTACGTTGGGACAGTGAAGAGTGTTGTATGCATTCGGAAACGACATTTCGCGAGCCATGATCCCGAGCAGTTCCACCACGCCCGCTGAGCAGGAGAATCAGGGGACCCTTACTAGAGCACGTCCCGTTTCCGCCGCGGGAGGGCGAGCATCGAGCTGGAGACGCGAATATCATTGAACGAGTACAATCTAGCTATTCCTAGCATTTTCCAAATTGTCTGTTCCAACGTTTCGAGTGTCAAGTTGGCCTTGCAGAAACTTGTAAATACATTATTTCTCGCGAGTCACGACTCACATATAGTATAGTCACGTGTAGATGTGATGGAAAAAAAAATCTAGTTATCTTTACGGACGCGCTTATGCTTTGTGACTGGACACTTACATCTTAGTATCTTGAAGCACTATCAATGTTGCCGCTCTTCTTTTTCTGAGCCGTGAAACAACAATACACGCCGAGGGCATTGCGATTGTTTCATATTTTCATTAGCACCACTAATCTGTAGGGGTGTGCGAATATTCGCCATTTTCGAATAACGAATCGAATATTACCCTCTTCAATTCGTTAATCGAATCGAATAATTTTTCTCAAAAGTTTTGAATATTTTTCGAATAAGTTCCGAATAGTCGTTACGGTGTCGCGTTCCGAGATTCCCTTCCCACAACGCGCCGGCACGCCTGCAATATCTGCCCGCATCATCGGCAGCAGCCGTCCCTCTCCGTACATACGTTGCTGTTGCCTCCATTAGGGAGCACTGTGTTAAGTATAACCCGCATGTAAGCGATTTGCCGAGAGACGAGACAGACGACGTCGACCCGCTTCGCTGTCGTTCGATCAGTCGCGCGATGAGGCAAGCCGCATGAAAGTGGCATGAGCAAGTGACCAAGGCGATGAGGACGTTTTCTAGAAATCCAAACACCGAGCGACGCGACGAGCAACAGTGAGAAATCTCTGTCGCTCGCTGCTGACCCTCGTCGTCGCTGTCGCTCGTCTTGTTGCTCGCTAAATCGCTTACATACGGTTCAGCATTTAGGAACAACTTTCGCACGAGATTGCTCATGCACTCTTTCGGAAAGCGTGTGGTGGAGACGTTTCAGAACTGGTTGCAACGGTACCGCCGTTCTGTGTAAGCGAAGTAGAAGTGGTAGAAGCAGGAAGTTGTTCGAAGAGAAAGCACACTTTTCGGCCTCTCCCATGCAATCAATTGAATAAGTCACAACAGCTGCTTGTGTCGAGTCTTTCCCAACACTTTCCATGGTTGTTCCACTTGTTCAGTGTGTGAAGATGTTGCTTTTTGAGGGCGCAAGTAGATCAAGACAATGCGTTTTCCCAGAATCTTCTGAGATCAGTGAAAATAAGGTTCCTGGACGTAGGCGCACAGGCACATCACGCTCTTACAGATTCCTTGATTCTCAATTCAAGGACATCTGCTACAAAAAGGAATAAAAAGATAATGTCGAGTTCCTATCATGGACAATGCTTCAGGATCTACCAGGCTCAAGCGAGCTGTGATTTTATGTTCAGCATCCGCGGAAACTATTCGAAAATTATTCGATTCATATTTGATTTGGTCCCACAATTATTCGATTTGTATCCGATTCGGTTTCAAAAATCACTATTCGCACACCCCTACTAATCTGCACTGCTCATGCTTCGTATTTTGAGGCAAAATGCCTCGAAATGCACGTCAAAATGCAAAATGCACGTCGAGGCAGAATGTACTGCTGTTTGCGCAAGATTTGCTCGTTGCTCTGGTTGCACGGGGCCTGTTCAGCAAGGGCAGGGACGTGTTCGCCACCAAAAACAAGGGAAACTTTCAGACACTAATTTCGAGAAGCAACTTCTGCTAACTTATAATATGAAGTAAAAAGCATACTTTTTAGTTTTATGCAAGAAAACTTGGTGATGGGCGTTTTCTACTTTTTCCTCAATTTTTTGTGTTATAGAAAAGTAGCTGAAAAGTAACGTCGTTACTGCTTAAAAGTAGGTGTAACGAGTTACTCTTTTGTTGCGGTGACTGTAACGGTAACTTCACTTTTTTTTTTCCTGAAAGTAACTGTAACAAATTACTTTTTAAAAGTAACTTACCCAAGACTGGGAGAAAGCGCGAGGGAGAGGGGGGAGGGGGGGGAGCAGGGGTGTACAGTCAACTCTAAATATTTTGAAGCACACTGGAACCACAAAACACTTTGAATTACTGAACGTGGGACTCGATTACAAAGGGATGGCATAGGGAAAAGTCTTTTCTGTTGTCCAGGTACATTGAACTACATTTCTGGAAAATGTTCAGCATACGAATACTATAGATATAAAAACATAACTAGGAACAATCATAATCAGAAGGCAAACTTGGCAAACAGTTCTAGAGTTTGTGTACATAACAATCTGGAAGACTATCGCCTGAGAATATATCCTCGGGGTTTTGCCGTTGTTGTTTTTTCAGCATTTTGTTAAAATGTTCACATTTGGTTAATTTTTATAAAGAACTGTTTGTGTTCTGTTCATGCCGAGTTCTAAATATGCAACTTCAACTTGCAGTCTAAATTTAGGACTTTGTGTTTCCACCGCTTGTTTATTTGAAATACCCTCAGGGCCTGAGAGTGTTGCACAGGGCAGCGGGTTAGAAACAACGAACTCTAACAGTGCAAATTATGACCTGTTTGATGAAATAGTAAAATTTCATTTCATTTATTGTCTTCAAAGGCATCTGGCGATGCATTACATGAGCGAGGATAGCAAAAATTGGGGAAAAGTCGCGATATACACATTACATGAGTAAAGAATGATCCTGGACTAGTTTTCGCATAGAAAACACAGCAAACGCCATACACACAGAATGTAAACCAACAGTTGAACATAAGCGAATTCCGTACTCTAAAATAAAACAAAAATAACAATGGGATAGAAGGCGATTATTATGAATACAAAAGGACATCAGGGAGCAACAAATTAACAAAACAGTTCTTCACACCTCTGCTTAAATCGATTCGGGTCAGATAACATTACAACGTCATTAGAAAGACTATATTCCAGTCTTTTATAGATAATGCGAGTGGAGAAAACATGAACAAGTTGGTGCGTGACTTAATGGGTTCCACTTTGCACGAGTGATCAAGCCTAGCAGATGTGAATTGTGCAGGTGAACATAAGAATTTGATAAATAGTGTTTTGTC